ATATACAAAACTTTTTATAATACGTAAAATTTATTCACTTATGAGTTGACTGGAAGCGAGAAAAAAGTCTGCCAATATCGTTGAATCATGGAGGTATTTAGATAATTGTGTCATATTGCGTTGATGTCTGGAATTGAACGATAGCCAACTGTGGTTAGTTCGTCTTTGGTACAGTCAGGCACTAACTTAGCTCCCAGGGTTGCCAGGAAATTGTCCTGAATTGATACGAAAATGTTTTATTGAGTCACACGATTGCTACCGTGGCAACGCTGCCAGCACGTGCGACGTCACATTTTTTTTTTTACCTTTCTTATCACTCTTTGAATTATTTTTTATGTAACTTTCTTTCCTTACAATTACTCAGCATTATAAGCTTCATTTATTACTGTCAATAAATTAATTACACACTGTTGATAACCTACCTAATGAATTTATTTCATACGTATTTTGATTAAGTGTTTTTTTTTCATTTGGAATATTCGATAGACAAGCAGAACCAATATGGTATTAGAAACTTGATGTTTTAATTTATGAAACATTTTAATATGTATATTGTACGTTTGTTGATAATGGTTTTACAATCATTTGTTTTATTTAATAATTCCTTTTGCAAACTACCAATGACATCAAGTACTATTGTCGACATGGACGACGCGACATGAAAAAGGGGCCAACATTTAAATTAAACAGAAAAAAAAGAAAAGTGAATGTCATTTAAAATGGACCAAGAACTCGGGGTTTTAATTTTGTTATCTATTTTAATTGCTTAAATGATGGGTGGCGCCAGCGGGGGGGGGGGCGTCCTGGGGAGTCCCTCCCCCCTCCTCGGGATTATTTCTCGTTTCTGAGATAATTAAGGATAAACAATGCCAGTTGTTAGAGAAGAGGTGAAATAATTGTAGCCAAAGTAATATCGTTAATTAAAAATTAACAATTTGAAATATGTTTTTTAAACAGATGTTGTCTTTGGCCAGGACACTTCGACAACACCATTGCCAGCATTTAGAGACACAAATTTAAATGGCGTGAACGCAGGAAACATGAACGGAAACATGAACCCAGGAAACATGAACCCAGGAAACATGAACCCAGGATACATGAACCCAGGAAACATGAACCCAGGAAACATGAACCCAGGAAACTTGAACCCAGGCAACGGACTTGGTGTAAACAATTACCCAATGGGGGCAGGAGGTCTTGGAGGAGGATCCTCAACCACCGTGATCCCTGGTGCTGGCATCAACGGTGCTGGTATCAACGCTGCTGGACAAGCTATAGGAACTACAATCGGTGGCGCATCTGTAGTCGGAGGTGGAGACAGTAGTGACAGCAGTGAGGAGAGTCAACTTGAGATCCCAGAAGTACCAGAGAGCAGCGACCCTGGTGGGGCTGCACAAGAAGCTGGGGATAGTCCAGACACCGCTGATGGTGCCGCTGTCAATGCTGGTATTGGTGCTAATGGTGTTAATGTTGGTGGTGGTGGTGGTGGTGGTGCTGGTAATGTTGGAGCACGCGGTGACCAAGAATTCAATGAAATCGGTGATTCACCAGATGGTGCTGAAAACATAGTAGATGCAGATATGGGAGAACAGGTTGGCAAAGGCAATTCTGCTGGCGTCACGGCTGGTATTCTAGTTGGTGTTGTTGCCGTAGTAGCAGCCGCTGCGGGCGTAGGCCTGTACGTTGTAAAACAACGAAGAAATATCTTTTCATCTAGCAATGTATAAGCATTCGCCTTAAAAGACTCTAACAAATTATGTTTAAATTTACATTCACATGTATGTATATATCTATATAACTTAGTCACTGTATATAAATACATAAATACATGTCTTCTTTGATTAAGATATTATACTTTATATAGTTTAATTACAATTTACAATTGTCAATTTTCATTATAGCAGGTCTGGTATTTTATATATTTCTCATATGATATATAAATACTGTACAAAAATTCAAATTATATATGAATTTATATTGTATAGATTTATGCAAATACATATTAATTCTTCTCTATGAATTGAATGTAGTTCTACATTGTTGTAAATGTACATAAGTAAACATCTTACATAAGTTGTTGCAATAACGTCACCATGTAATGATTAATTATGTCATCAACAATTACGTAATCAAAGTAATGTTTTCCCTTAATTTAAGTTTTATTTTAAATTTAAGCTGTATATATGTTTTCTACCTAAAAACTTGAGGGCAAAATTGAATTCTGTCCGGTGAAAGCTTTTCTAATTTTTAAACCTTGACTACAAGAATTTTTATTTTTATAAATAGGTCTGTTAGCTTTTAATTTTCGAATTAATTAATAAAATAGAAATATTGTAGGTCTCTCACTGGCTTGCTTTGATGGAAAACATTTTCGTTAATTACATGTACTTACGGTGGATAAACTTTAGTTTAAACATTGAGGGCGTATTCTAAAAATAAGTTCATCGCACTGATAAAAAAAATCGCAAAGCACGTACTTTAAAGTGGTGGATGTGTGATGCAAGATCACACATTGTTATTATGAAAAATGAAATATACTTATTATTTAAGGATAAATGGAAAACTTATCCACAGATAGGTCGAGCCAATTATTTGTACCACTGATACGAAAATGTAACTTTTTGGGAATGATAAGATAAATAATACCTGAAAAACGAGTTTTGAATTCTTTTGGTTTAAATACATTTGATGAAAAAAGGTGTATTTTTAAATTGTGAGAATGTTTGAAGCAGCGAGAATAGGTCGGAATATATAGGCTAATTATTTAATAACGATAGAGATTATACATAATGATGATGATGTTACTTGTTGCTTGAGCGCTTTTCCTTTCAGTTACGAAGCACTGTAAGTGCCTCCCTGGTCATTGAGTCCACATGCTTAAGTGTTGCTGTCATATTGGTGCAGTAGCAGACAAGCCGACCAGTTACCCATTTATACTCTGGGTGGAGAGAAGCAATGAAGATAACTTGCTTAAGGACACAAGAGAAATGCATAGCGAGGGATGTTGTTGTTGATGATGATGATGATGACGATGATGATGGATGATGATGATGATGATGATGATGATGATGATGATGATGATGATGATGATGATGATGATGATGATGATGATGATGATGATGATGATGATGATGATGATGATTATGTCGATAATGATGATGATGGTGATGATGATAATGATGCTGATGGAAATAAGGCCTAAAAAATAATTGCTTTTTTGCCTTCTTTTTTTAAAATGATAAAAAGGCTTGTAGAAAAAGTTTTTTTTTCAATATTACTCATCAGTTGGAATAGAAATAACCCACAGTTGACATTCTGCAATGAATATAGGCATAAAATGGCAATAGTTTACATCAGACAACAACTCTAGACAACTTTGTGGAGCATCTGACCAAAATAAAGATCAATTCACTCACATTTTTTTTTAATTTGTAAAGAAAATATTTACAAAATGTTTTTGCCGCCCCTATTTGTTAGGAGCTGGTGAGGAGGGCAAACAACGATAATGATTACGACGATAATTATTACGATGATTGAGATTCAAGATTCAATAATGTATTGCTTCAAATACCGTCATTGTTGTCCACCAAACAATCTTAAAATAGACAAGAAAAAACAAAATGAACAGATATCCTAACTTCAACAAACTACTGTATGCACTGTAATGGTAGAGCGTTCAAAGGTTCTAGTGACCCGCATATCTCGTGACTATACAGTTTGCTGTGGGCTATCATTTTTTTCTTTTTCTTTCTTTTTTTTCTTTTTTTTTTCTTTTTTTACCTCTCAAAAGGGGGGGGGCCGGGGCCGGGCCGCCCCCCCCCCTAAATCCGCCCCTGCTCTGGGTGGAGAGAAGCAATGAAGATAACTTGCTTAAGGACACAAGAGAAATGCATAGCGAGGGATGTTGTTGATGATGATGATGATGACGATGATGATGGATGATGATGATGATGATGATGATGATGATGATGATGATGATGATGATGATGATGATGATGATGATGATGATGATGATGATGATGATGATGATGATGATGATGATGATGATGATGATGATGATTATGTCGATAATGATGATGATGGTGATGATGATAATGATGCTGATGGAAATAAGGCCTAAAAAATAATTGCTTTTTTGCCTTCTTTTTTTAAAATGATAAAAAGGCTTGTAGAAAAAGTTTTTTTTTCAATATTACTCATCAGTTGGAATAGAAATAACCCACAGTTGACATTCTGCAATGAATATAGGCATAAAATGGCAAGTTTACATCAGACAACAACTCTAGACAACTTTGTGGAGCATCTGACCAAAATAAAGATCAATTCACTCACATTTTTTTTTAATTTGTAAAGAAAATATTTACAAAATGTTTTTGCCGCCCCTATTTGTTAGGAGCTGGTGAGGAGGGCAAACAACGATAATGATTACGACGATAATTATTACGATGATTGAGATTCAAGATTCAATAATGTATTGCTTCAAATACCGTCATTGTTGTCCACCAAACAATCTTAAAATAGACAAGAAAAAACAAAATGAACAGATATCCTAACTTCAACAAACTACTGTATGCACTGTAATGGTAGAGCGTTCAAAGGTTCTAGTGACCCGCATATCTCGTGACTATACAGTTTGCTCTCCAATTCGAGACCTCCATTGGGACCTGAAAATTTGGGATGGTCTCGGGTTCGGCCTCCAATTAGAGGGCTAGCTTTGTGTTAAAAGGTTGAAGAGGATTGTTATTTGGGTCTTTGGAAAACCTAAAAGAAATTGAATAAATAGGCACTAGGCCTACATACATCACTTTGATGATGATGTTGAAACAACGCCAACTTCTATTCTCTCCTGTAAACTCAATAAATGCTCGAACACAACACCCTTACAATGTCCAAAATTCAAAGAATCATCTACTGTGATGATCATTAAATCAACATCATCAAAATCACAGAGATTTAATAGCCTAAATTGATATCAAAATTATTAAAGCTTATCTACGTCAATGTACGAGTCTGTGGATAAGACAGACAGATGTGGTGCAGGGCCTACCTCGACAAACTCGTGAGAATTTTGGGGAACTTCTGAAAATAAGTATTTAATCAAAAACATTATTGTGTAGGGCGTACTTTCGTTACCGTACTTAAGCTGGCTCCGCTCACATTATTAATTTTAAATTTTCATGCCGTATTTAACGTGAATATATTAAGAATACCAATGGTTCAGACATAAATTTACCGGGATTAAATTAAGTCTAAGACACCTCTTGGGCCTTCAGCATTTATGCATTTTGAATGGTAGGCTTCCCTTATGCAGCTCTGATATTTCTTGTAAATAGATGCAAAGGAAGTTGTTTAATATTAGGTGGGTGTTTTGATTAAATTTCCTGATGATCAATGTTGTGTAATTATCTTTTTACGAGGACGTCTATGTTCCTTGTTCAAGTAGCAATAAATATCTGATCACAGAGTTGGAGTACCCTGCTAAAATACTTAGCCCCTATTTAGTAAAAACTGGTACATCGTGCACGTGCTTGCGTATGTTTTGCTCATGAATAAATGAATGATACATACGCTTTCATTAACTTGGATTAACATACGTATGCATAATGAATGTTTATATGTACAGTATAAATGATTTATGGATATCCATAAATGTTGAATAAAAGACCCAGTGACACTTCGTAGTATGTTTGGTTTATGAAAACGAATTTAGACAGAAAAAAATGTTATTGTACCGTATAACGTATGTCACTCACATAATGACATCATAACTATTACTTCAACGAACATATGATCTCATACTCGTCCAACTATTTCCCCGCTAGACACTGTAAGTCTCAAGCGTCCAAACACCCACGGGAAGGCTCTATCCTGGCAGCGACTGAACCACATGGTATTACCATGCCGAGGCCTGTACGATACGGCACGACGATTACCCTAGACGAGGTTTTCCCTTGGGCCCGTACGCCCCTTGCCGTCCATTCATATTTTTACTTATAGTTATCTACGATTGTAATATGTCATCGTCAGGCAACGGTGCTACGTATATATAACAGTAGAAAATGTGTTTCACGTGATAAATGAAAAGTAATTTTAGCAAGGAAGTACTTTGAAAATGTCACTTGGAAATCACAACTAATTAATAATGTCCGTCTGCTTGCAAATAGATATAGGAACAAAAACTTCAAAACAAAGGATATCTTTCATTAAAAAGCTGATTAAACGCCGCGATTTTTATTCAAAACAAATATGCGTCGTGGCGCTTATTGAAGAGCCGCGGTTAGCAGAATAATTAACTTTTTGTACGGCAAATTTTTCGCTAGCGGGCTTATTCAAAAGAAGTTTAGTTTTCACTCATTGAATGATTAATACTGTATGCTATACTTTATAATGCCATAAGAAGATCGAGTGAGTAATGTGTTATATATTGCGTGTGCAATGCGCTGTTGTACACACTTGACCTACATCACATGACAATGCATCCACAATGGAGGGATGCCTTACGAGTACCAGGGGGATTTGTTTTGACATTATAAACAATTGATATGTACAGAACCTGTTCGAAAGATTTTAAACATGAATATACGTAGACCTTGCGAAAATTATTAAAACCCATTATTGAGTTAAACCTAGGCCCACATACTTTAATTGTGGAAGGTCATCTGTCATAAAAAAAATATAAACCAAACAATTCCCAGCTATATACTATATTAAGCCAACATAAAGTATGTTGTGATTGATTCGTCAATTATCCTATATGGACGGATTATAGAATAAGTTAATTTTGTTTTGCTTTAAATATTGTCTTGTGATCACTTTGCAATTTCTTCTGGACGCACTTGCTATTCATGTTAAATATATTATATATTACAGTAGTTCGTTTTCTTTATATATATACATTGTATATATATATATTGGTATATATGTGTATATATATACGTAATTGTATATATATATGTATATAAAGGAAGTATATATATACTTATATATATACTTGACAGACTTGATACTTGATTAGTTGACAGTCATGAAAGTACTGTAAGAAATTTTCGGTAGAAATTTTCATCAGCATACGAGTATCGGTCAAAGTGTCTTGCAGTACTTTCATGTCTGTCAACCATTCTAATTATATATGTACAAAACAAGAAATGTTTGTTAATAAATTTGTTAATCCTCAGAACATTCAGGTGGTCTACGTGAGAAAAATTTTGAATCATTTAATTGGAGAGCGAAATAATATGGTTTCAATTTTGTGAAAAATACTCCGTGCACATAAACGTACTAAAATGTTCTGATAGGCCTAATCATCATTAGCATTGATATTGCTACTCATATTCGTTAAATTACTCATAGTATGATGACGTCATTAAATTTGAGGATCTAGTCCCGTCACACTATTATGAGTGACTTGTAAGGATCTATATTATTAGTAAGCATGCTGGGAAAATAGAGCTTTAATCATGAAAATGGTTGCAAATTTAATCCATCACCATGATATGGTTACGAACAATTACGAAATATATACACAGAGTATCATAATTGAAGCAATAGTCGTCTATGGACCTTTGTTACCGTTATCAAGTTCCTAATCGTCAAACAGTAATTTTTTTGATCGTCAGTAAATAATATTATGGTCGGTACCATTTGTTTATTTTTTTAATTTATAATTCGCAAAAAGCATAAAATACGCCCATCGATGGAGAATTTTTAAATTATACAAAATGGTAAAATTAATCATTGAATGAGTAAAGGCGATGATGTTAATTTTAAATCGACAGACTGTCATACACAAATTATTTTAGGAGCGTTAACAACTTAAAAACCACAAAGGACTCGTCCTAACTAATTAGAGGGCGTTAAGGCCTTGTGCACATTACTAACGCCCACATTGGGGCTTTGTCGGTTCTAAAACAACAAGGTTTCCCTCGGTCATATCCAATAAATAAGATAAGGACTGTTTATTTATTTATTTATTGTTTAGTTGATGCTTAAAATAAAGAGTAATTTACAATCCTCGAACATCCGCTAAATATTAGCCCTCCACGCACAGGCCTAAGCCTACTTATAACTTGCAATAAAAAAATAACCCAAGTAAACAGTATTAAATTTGATTGTAATTATCATATTAAGGATGATGATGATGTAACAATATATAAAAGGCCTGATAATAGGTATTTTATAATGTAGTTGCAGTAATAAGAAATATCCCAAGATGTACAGTAAACTTAACAAGGGTAACACCACCACATGATGCGACAGACGCCTGCCAAGTGCTACACGTGCTCGCTTGGCAGGCAGCTCATTCCATTACTCGCTACAGTTTAAAATTGACAGCCTTATATAAAACCAAAACTCCGGATTCTTAAAATAGTTCGTGATTCACTACAACGGTACTGCCTGGTACAAAACTTTAGAACAGGAAATTTGACTCAGAAGAGATCGGTGTATATGAATATTGATGAGCCGATCGATGTCTTTTTGCACTCAAGGTTAAGATTGAAGATGGCAAACTGTGACGTCATTAATCTTCTCAAGTTTTGTCGTGAATTTAACCTCAGATGAATTCTGATTGTATCTACAATTCACTGTAATTGGCTAATGTGTATAATAGGCCTAAAGAATATTATGTGTTGCAAGAAGTATAAAAGGTAATTTGGCGATGTAAGTCCAATATGAGAACCTCTTTAAATTCAATATACCGTACAATACCGTACATCAAAGCGTTACCGGTATCTCATAAAATTTAGATTGCCGTTTTCATAATTTCATTTTGATACTTTTTATTACATAAGTAGGCCTAATACAATTCATGTTTTCAGAAGCATTTTCAGGTCACACGCTTTTCATTCCCGGTTTTAGTCAACCTAAGCTCACATAATGATTATCGTTATCAATCATTTTCATTACCATATCATTATCATTAACATTATAATAATACGGTAATATTACCGTTATCATAATGATTAGTATTAAAAATGTTAATATTACCAATATTATCAATATTATTATTCTAGTGAAAAAAATTAGAGAGATTTTAACTCTGCGTATCCCTTTATTATTGTTCTATTTTTCTCATCCATAATAAGCCTATATCTGTAATGATTCTAGTAAATTTTCCTTGCTCAAAGTTTTTTGTCTAAAATGTTGATATAGTTAAACAGTTTTCAGAAATGACATGATTAGTGGTAATTTCGTGGTAATGGGAAACTTAGAATTTCTTGCTACCCTGCCTCTCCCAGTGTGTAAGTGACATAACGATGATTTAAATAACAATGCCTGTAAAGGATGGGGTACCAGCAGAAAGCTTGCGTAACAATCACCGTAGCATAATAATATCGTTAAACAAGAAAGCGTCATTTGCGTGAACAATGTAAAGGAAACTAGTCTAACCGAATCGTAGCTGGTAAGTTATTAATGTGACTTTATTATGTAGGCCTAAGTAAATTTACCGCTATGCAGTAGAAATTTAAAATCAGTTAAAATGGTGCGCTTAAAATGATTCTGAATTTGTTTAAAGAAAACAGGTGAGTGCTACTAGCTGGAAAGCTGTTTAGTTAAAGCATGTAATTTTAAATTGTAGGCCTTTTTGACGCTGAAATTGTCCCAATCATATGTCTATTATTCTACCGTACACGGGACCGTACACCGGTAGCGAATGCTTGTGTGCAGGCAACCGACTCCGATAAATATTCGTAACGTTAAACCCGTTGAAATAGTGGAGGAGTCTGATAAAGTTTTGTAGATAGAGGGCGCAATTATTTGTTTTCATTTTTTAAATTTAAATACGATTTCTCTTTGTAAAGATCATCTTGTTTTATTGAATATAGAACCTTCTTGAAGAAGGTTCTATATTCAATAAAACATTGAATTCCCACAACCCAAATCAATTAGATATATTACAGACGTTTTACTACAGCCTTTGATTACTAGCCAGTTTACGCGTGGATGATACAAAGGATGGCAAGATTTTTATGCCTCCGATGAGAGGGGATTGTTTTCTCTTTCTATTGTCAATGAAAGCCAATGAAATGAAGGCCTACTTAAAACACAGAGAAAACCAAATCAGGTGGTTTTTTTTCCAGGTTTTATTAGCTCAAAAAATAACGTTTATCTAAAGTAACGAATAAATTAAAACCAGCTCCAAACATGATTTATTCATAATTTTATGGTATCATTAACATGATTTTAATATTAATTCTCATTATTAGTATATTTATTATAGTATTATTGTAGAACAATGTATTTGTGGAAAACAATATCTCATTGAAGAGCGCCGATAAGGTTTTAAAACAAGGGTATTATCAAAGATACCCCTTCACTCATCATAATTCATGTTAACAAATATACTCTTCACACATATATTGGGTCAGTAAAACAAAATCACATACAAAACAGTCCTACAGCACAGCGCTGAATTCTGCAGTGTTAGTGAATAAAATGACGAAAGTATAAATCAAAGACTCTGATTCGGCAATTATACCTTTACAAATCATTAATTAATTTTAAAAATGAGTGCAATAATTAAAATTAATTTCGAAAAACATTTCACTATTAAATGGAACGAACTTAAGCCTACCCACTAAAATTTCTTGTTTCTATTATAAGATTTTATCAAATTCGCCGTATATTGCTTATTGGAGTAGGCCTCCCTACTATAATACGTGTGGCCTTTGGACTGGACGATGGGTGCCTTAATTCAAATATATGGTATAAGTTATGGTAACCTATGGTAACCATACGTTATTTTGTGGAAATCGAATCAAATAAAATGTATTTCCCTTGCAATACTGATAAAAAATATATACAGTTACAATATTCAATCAAGTCAATAAAACATAAACACATACCAAACAATAAGGCAAGTAGGAATGCCCATAGGTTCCCTTACAGACATATCGTATATAATTCATACCATACTTTGCCATTTCAAAGTTTCCTATGACCGACACATTGAAACATTGAGAGGAGGCAGTCTCTACGAGTATTAACTCATTGCCTCCTTATATCACTAAGGTAAGACTCACTAAGGTAAGGCAAGGTAAGTATACTGAACAAATAAAAAATATACTGAACAATATAATAAGGCCTTATTTATTAATTAACTATTAATTATTGATTAATTAACTGAAAAACATAAATATAAATGAATTAGCTAAATGAATTCACTATCCCGTATTTATGAATGTCAGCTTACTCTCCTTGGTAATATTTATATTATGTTTGTTGTGAAGTGTCTTCACATGGAGATCCATATAGACTAGAAAAAAAATCCGAAAAAAATGAGTTAGGGGGAGTGGAATGTTAGAAGCAATCCACATAGCCAGATATCCTAATTAATCCCTTCTGGTCACCCTAAGCCCTGTTGACACTTGATTTTACTCCTTGTATACAAATGACGGCCATTTTGAAAAATGGCCGCCAAATTTATCTAAAATGTGCATAAAATTGAAACTAAATAAGCTACAGATATGATTTTGGTGTCTAAACTCATAATTTCTAGACAGGCAACAATCTAGACATATAAAAACTACTGTCACTCAAGCCAGAATCTGTCTCTTATCCACATCTAGATGTGTATAAGAGACAGCTGTAGGACATATAGCATTAATCCAGTGGGGTGGGTTGCCCAGCCGGCCAGGACCCTTGCATTTGTAAACATTTTTTTTTTAAATGGAGATAAAGTAATCAAATTTAAAAAGTCTGAATGGGAAACAAAATCATAATTTTCTTTGCGACTCCCAGTATCGAATAGACTATGAGTCCTTGATTAGACCTTTGCGATGCCCGTGAGGGGAGAGGGAGAGGGGGAGCATAGCTCCCGTCGAGAGGAAGTCAATAATTTTTTGTCGAGGAACACTGCTTTGAAAAAGCATATTTTTACCATCTGAGAGTGCCAATTTCGAGCGTCTAGAGGGCCTCAGCCCTAACCATGGTGGGGCTGAGGCGGGTGTGGAATACCTATTGGTGCCCCCCTCCCAGTCAGAAAATTTCTGGATCCGCCACTGAGGTTTCAGCATGCCTTTTGCAAGCCAGGACCCAGTAGTATTTTCTTACATTTCTTTACAGAGGGGGGTTCGTCCAAATCCCATGAACCCCCCCCCCCTGGATCCACCACTGGAGAGTGAGCTTTCTTTAAGATGGCGTTAGCCTCCTTCCCCTAGATATCACATTGATTATCATCAACAATTAGCTGACAATAGCTAACATGGTGAATTACACATAATTGATCAGTACAATGAAACAGCCACACTAGTGAACATTACACTCTGTGGGGCTGCAGACTCAATACTCCACATGTCTTGGGTTAGTTTGGGTATTGTGCGATGGCTCCAGAAATCACTATCTTGTAAATGTAGGCTTAGAA